GGGGAGGGGGGAGCGCTCCCCGGGGGCGGGCAGAAGCTCGTTCCCTTCCTCAGACTCTTTTGACGCCTTAGGCGTTTGGGATAAAGGGGGAAACCCGGGAGGTGTTTGAAGACGTGGTTCTCTCAGAGCCTTAGAGCTTCTGTACGCAATGTGTTCCAGAAATCCAGCACAGAACAAAAGCGCAAGTAATGTGGGTGATCCGATCCTTTTTATTGTCGTTTTACACCCAACCTGGAAAAAAAAAAAAAACCCAACCACAAACCCAAACAACCTAGCCAAGTTATTTTTCTCTTTGTTTTCTGCCCTTCCTAGATTCCTGCATTATTGGTGACCACCCAAAAATACAAATCAAGAACTCTACTTTCTGTATGAGTGCCTATCCAAACTTGACTATGGTTAACTTCACCAGTGAAGGAAACAAAACGTTTGTCAGTGGAAGTGAAGAATACTTTAAGTAAGATCTTTCTTTCTTTAGTGACGTTATGTTACTCTTTCTCTAAAATCCACTGTAACAGACAACAAATCACTGTTTGGAAGACTAGAAATACAATAGTTAAGGACAGCAAATGATACTAGCGTTTTTTATGTGTTGGAATGATGAAAGCTAAATTTCAAATGCTGGATTATTTGTGTTCCGTTCCTATTATTTGTGTTCCGTTCCTATTATTTGTGTTCCGTTCCTGTGGTGCTTAGTGCAGCTGGGGTGTTGGCCCATGCCTGGCATTTTTATCTACTACTGCAATGCAGATAAATAAAATAATACATGGGGAGAATCACTGGAACCTTCTAGAGAAACCGCTGAGAACACTGAAGCAAAACAAAATACTGTAGGGATTTGCACTGATTACTGCCTGCAGTTGCTGTCATTATTTTTTTTTTTCTCCTTTAAAAAATATTTTTTATTTCTTTTCTATTCTTAGGTACTTCGTATTGAAGATTTCTGCAGGGATTGAATATCCTGGTGAAATTAGATGGCCCTTGGCACTATCTCTTTTCCTAGCTTGGGTGATTGTATATGCCTCCCTTGCTAAAGGAATCAAGTCATCAGGAAAAGTAAGAAAAATATTTGTGATTGTGCACTTGCGAGAAAGCAACGTGCTGCTTTAAGGGAATCACACTCTTGTTTAAGGCAGTGAATTACTGAAAACTGTTTTCAGTAAACAGCTAAGTATCGATGAAATGCCTTTTTCTTGTTTGTGTGTTCCTGTCTAGCCAAAACATAAAAAAAGGTAATTTTAGTTCAGCATTTGTTCCTTAATCTTCAGTAAGTTTAAAATGAGCCACTGAGCTGTGCTCAGCAGTTGGATGGCAAAAAAGGTGCCTTCAGCAGCCTTCCCTATTCTGTGTGGTGTTCGTTAAAATTCTGCAATCATCTCACATTTCACTTGAATCAAGGAAATTGTGATGTAAATTAAGATGTTAAGTAACACATGTAAAATCAGAACCAAACTTAAACTGATCTATGGTGAGTGTGAGTGGTGACAGTGTGTATCCTCTTTTCCCAAATATTCGTGTGCCACCTTTCTAAAACTCCTCCTTGAGGTAACCCAGCTCCTTGTTCTGTTTCTCTGACATCTCACGTGTCATCCTCTCCCTTGCCCCGCAAATCTGTAGCTTTCTGCCATGGCAAGAGGGAGCGTGTCCTCTCGCTGGCATGGAAGTGGCCAGGCAGCTGTCTGAAAGGGGAAATGCAGCTTTTTCTTCAGCAGCAGCGCGGGTTTGGGTGGGGTTTTTTTTGTGAAACCTGCA